ATTTACACTTGTAACACTCAAAAGGTTGACATCACATTGAAAAAATAGCATTATTATCATTTTTTTAAGCGAAATACACATTTTCATGCAGAGATTTGAAGCAACGAATTGTTATGTATAGAAATATGTAAGTTTAGATGTTACATATGTAAATACATAATAATTGAGTGCTAGGTATGTAAATTCCCCATAAAAATTTAGGGAAATTTTCGTACATACCCAAATAATTCCCTTATGTTTACATATCTAACTTCTAAATTTTTATATTTATATTTATAGCTTTTTGGCATGATAAACTTAAATATGTGTATTTATTTATAAAAATCGAGTGATGGTGCTATCTTAGATGTGGTGTTAAAGATTTTGTTGCTAATTCATGTAAAATATTAAAGTTTAGGTATTAAATATATAAATAAGTAAGAATTGTATGGCATATATGTAAAGCCATTTGAGGGAATAAATAATTGCCCTCTTTGCTGTTATGGGTAAATGCCATATATTTTATATTTTATTATTCAATTTTTTTCTTAAAAAAAAATTATTTCTTACTTCTTTTTTTTGACTAATTTTGAAATTCTAGCACTGATATGAGGCATAATATAAACAAAGATATAAGAATCATCTAATAATATATATATATATATATATAAGAAGTAGATAAAAATTTAAATAAAAAATTTGCATCTGCATCAAGTGCACGTGCTTAAAATTTTTAAATTAATAATATTATTATAAAATAAAATTATATTCATTTTATAAAAACTTTTTTATAGAAGATACAATTTTTGCAAATAGTTTAATGGAATTGCATATTAATGAAAGAATAATGTAGTATTATAAAAAACATTTTATATAAATATCAAGTGAGGAGATGTCACATATTGTTCACTTAGATGACTCTTCATTATTTTTACAAACTCAAGTCCTTTAAAAAAAATAATGAATAGAAAGATAATAAGCAATATAAGATCATAGATAACCAACACAAACTCTTTAAACCATTCGACTTTGTAAAAATATTTTTTTGGATAATCATATAAACAATTATGAGATGATGAAGAAGGCGACAATGGCTTAATAACAAATTTATAATGGTATTAGTAGTGAACATTGATGCAAGCTTCATTATGCTAAATGTAATAACGAAACTTACGTTTTTTTTTTTTTTTTTTTTTTTTTTGACCAAAATAAATTGATACTCCCCGTTTATCCCCTTATACTCATTGAATCCAACTTCTTAACCCCATTAAGTGCACGGTAGCCTCACTAAATACAACTTTTGAATCTCATTAAGCTCATCATAGAGTTCACCGAGGCCACGTTATTGGCCTCATAGGTTTCACATTCTTAACTTCTAAATTTTATCTTAAGCAAACAAAGCCTGCCTTCTTAATCTCGCTTTGTTTCTTTAATGTTTATGTGATATTGTCTTCCCTAAAAGGACATGCTCTAACATTTATGCTTGTGCATATTTACATGTTTTCTTAAGGCATGTCTTGTCGGCATTTCAAAAAGGCAAAGAACCATTTAAGTCTTCCTAATTTTTGAAGAAAGAATATTTGACAACCATTAACTTGACTTGAGACATCATTGTTGACCATAATAAAGTAACCCTCCTTCCCGAATCGTTGTATATGTTTATTGCTCCTTAATATGGACAACATATTTGTATTCTTAAGTTTATAGTTCGACATTACTTAAATGCTTTTAAACTCTAGTGTTGCCAACTCCATGAGCCATCAACACCTCTTATTCCATATATCTTTGATCTAGCTTATAAACAGAGCCAACAAGATTTCACAAACTTAAAAATTAAATGTTAAAAATAATATTCCTAGAAATACCTTTCTCTTTACTGTCAGGAGTGTGCTTTTATCCTTTTCTTTTTTATCGTTGGGATCTTCATCTAACGGTCGTTCCTTAATCATTATCATGTAAGGAAGTAAGAATAGATTTGAAACCTTGTATATTGGTACCCTTTTAAAACCCTTCTCGGTGAATCTCAGTGCCTAATTTAGATAATTAGAAAGACCTTTGACAACATTGCACACATCCATCATTCATAATATTAAGTTGGTGGTTGAAACCTATTAGCTCACTTAGTCATGGTCAATGACTTTAACCCATCAAACTACCACCTTTTAACTTACCAAAAATTACGTCTTTTTCTAGCTTGACACATTTGACAACCAAACACATGGTGGTTGAAACCTATTAGCTCACTTAGTCATGGTTAATGACTTTAACCCATCGAACTAGCACCTTTTAACTTACCAAAAATTATGTTTTTTCTAGCTTGACACATTTGACAACCAAACACATGTCTGTGTACCCACAAACATGTTTCTTAGTAAACTATTATTCTTAAAATATTGTCATATTCTTTTAATTGATTATATCTACACATTCTTTCATCTGTCTTTCTTACTTCACAAAAAATATTAACTTATTCTCTCATCAAATTATGTTAGCACAACATCTCAATAACTCGTGTCATCACATTATATCGACAGCTTTTTTTCACATAGATTTTATATGTATAACATTTTGACATATTTTCTCTAATGCAATATACATGTAAATTTCATTTAAATTTTATGCGGATCCTGTGTGTCATCTTCTCCACCACACATGAATTATTTAAGCAACATGTATAAATATATCCCAATGTGGCTATTGTGTTAAATCTCTGTTATTTTCTTAGATGTCAAGGTATATTATCTATTTCAACATTTATAAAGCATAATGAAATATCATACAACTCAGGGGCAATATTATTGGTTACAAATTACATTGAATTTGATCCTCGCATGTGATTTAGGCAAGCAATCACTATGATGCATTCATATATTCAATATTAAACGGTCTCCAAGAAATCCCCCTTCTAAAAACATTAATTATAATACAAATACTTTTATCTTCATGTTCATAAAAAAGTTTCATAAATTTTATTTAATCTATTAAAAACTCTTTATTGAATCACATCTTTAACATTATTTTTTTAGCAATATAGTAAAACACTTTTCTTTAAGTTCTTATTGTTACTTTTCCTTATTATGATACTTCTTTTATCTTCTTATATAGTAGCCCAAGCACGGTTATTTTATAACAGTTTGAACTTTAAATGAATGTATTTCTTTTTCTTAGGGTATATAAAAATTTCATTAGTTATGTTCAATTTCTCAAGGAAAGTATATTGCAACTTTGGAATAAATGTAAAAAAATTAAGAAGAATATGATAACAATGATACTCATTTTAAATCTCATGCACGCACATGCATTGTGTAATTTAAGTATTACAGCTGATAACTTCTTAATAACAACACTTTTGTTACCAATAAATAATTGAAATCTTAATTTGATGACATCCAATAATAGTTGACTATAGTTGTTAAGACAGTAAAAGACACAAATGACTTTCAAACCATAACATCTTAACATGGCAATCAAATTGATTAAGAGGATGAAACTATTCATTGTTATTCCTGGATTTAGAATAACTTTAAAATGTATATAAATATGAATATAGTGTTGTATTAAAATGTAACAATTTTTATAGATATGTAACTCTATAGAGCATTTTTTTCTCTTAGGTAATTCTCTAATTCTCGAATTTCTTGCAAAATTATGGTTCAAATATCTTCTCTAAGATGCAATTTAGTGAAGGGTGAGTAGTCGAACATAAGAGTCTCTCACTCTTTGCGTGGACATTCAAATAATAATAATAATAATAATAATAATAATTGTAAGGAGAAGTTGACACATTCAACGCCAAAATTTTGGGTTGTCTAGCCATTTTATAATTATTTTTATGAAGTCAATGATATTCTTTGATTTAGGACTATTTATTTTTCAATTGTCTTGTTATGTGCTCAATCGTGTTCATGTAGTCGACCCCATTTTGTGGAATAAAGGCTTTTTGTCATTATATTTCTTAGTTGCCTTATGCAACCTTGCTCAAGACTTTAGCTTTAAGTGTCTTTTTGGGATCTCTTGCGAGTGTTATTTGTCTCAAATTTCTAAAAATCATGCCTCTAGATCAGATTCTACATGGGAATATCTGTGATTCTACTAATAGTTTCTTCAATGTTTTTGAAATCATTTTAGCTTGCCTCATGTAATCAAGTTTGCTAATATTCTAATAACTCAACATGGATTTACCTTTCTTCACTCACAAGTATAAAAATAATGAAAATAATATTGACAATATTTATGTTTGTTTTGAAACAAAAAATTAAAAGGTCCATTTCTTCAATAATGGGAACAATTTAGGAGGCAATAGCTTGCATATATTAAGCGGCATCTCACTGACACTTTCTACCGAGCATTTCAACATTCCTTTACCAACCTTGAAATAAACTCTTATTCTTATCACATCAACCATTTAAATAAAGAGTATTTAAAGCAATCAACTCTCATGAAGGGCTTGATGTAATGCCCATGAAGAGTTTAATCAATAACAAATATGAATTAGTATTATATTTCAATCATAATAACAATGGGAAAAACATAATTAACTAGACAGCGCAAAAAAAAATATCTATTTGAAAACTAATAACAAAGGGCAATATTAAAAAAATATATTGTGAATCATTATGCTGGAGAAAGCCTATAAAGGAGCATATCATCATATATCGAGTAATATTTAAAATAAGAAGTATAACACATACTATCATTAAGTGAGTATCTAAGCCCTAGAATGCCAATGCATAGACTATTAGTTTTGGATTGTGCGACCATAGGCGCGCCAGTTAATAGAACCTCAAGTATGATTAAAACTCGAATTTCCCCTAATTGTTGTTTGAGGAGTAAGAAATGAATCACAATGAGGCTTTATGCTAGCCTTTTCTTTGGATGATCAAAGCAAAATTGCATGGAGAAAAGCAAAAAATAAAAAACTATGAGAGGTTAGATAATCTTGGCCTATGTCCACTTTAGAAGTACATTATATTGCAATAATGACACATAACAAACATAAGAATTCAGGGGCATGCATGTAAATTTTCCTAGAGAAGAAGCGATTAAACCCTCCTCCCTGCTGTGACGAACTTCACACACATGCTCTCTGCCTCTCTAAAAGCTATCATCCTACAGCTTATTCCAGATGAGCGACGGGGAGGAAGATCGAAGCGGCAGCTTCGTTCTAGTGACGAGGAAGGGCGGCTATGGCCTCCCCACCGCTTGTCCTTCTTGTCTTTCCGTCTATCTTTATCTCCGATTCGCTAACACCGCCTTTAATCTACTCTACGACGTTTCCAACCCTGATTCCGGTCAGCAATCTCTCACCCTTAGTTTTGATCTTTTTATTATTTCTATTCTAAACAAAGAATGTGGCCATGTTTAAAGGCTTCCAATCTCGTTCCTCTTTACTTTTTTGGTTTATTCTGTTTTTGTTGGTCACTGTTATACTTGTTTAGGGTTATCTATTTCTCCATGTAATTGTTAATCAATTTCTTTGCTACGTCTGCTTCCAGGTAATCCGACGCTATCATCCGATTCAGTGTTTTTATTTCTAATTTTCGTAAACTTGGTTGATAATCATCTAATATACTTTGTGAGGCGGCAGTGTCAGCAGATCAGATTTGATTCTTTGCAGCTCACGGCCAAGTTCCCGATTCTCACCTACACACTCACAAGAAATAGGAAAGGCAAATGCTAGTGAAATGTAATGAAGCCTTAATCCCATGTTGAAATGATTATTATTTTGAAGTGCATCTCGATGCCAATTCTTAGTGGTGAATGCCATGCACTATATAATACGCAGCTTAGGGGATTGTAGAGAGTTATTTACAGGGAAGTAGACCAAAACAATTCCATGTATAAAGATATTTTTCTCCTTATTATCTAACCATGCTCGGAACCATATGACCCCATGAAGATAAATGACTTTCATGATAATGGGTGATCAAATAAGTGATTCACACTATTATTCTTGTGTTTCAATGAAGGGAATCTTAGGGAAGTTTTTGGTCTCAAGATGATTAGAGAAGATGAAGAAATAAAGGACTGGCAGGAGAGAGGTAAAATTCATGGGAAGGGGCCAGCTTCATTTTCTCATTTGGTAATGATGACTCATTGCAACCTATCTTCTTATTTTTAGAAGGGAGGCCTCCTAAAGAGAAGTAATTGGAAACTAAACTAATGATTATGAAATGACAACTAAACCGGTGAAAATAATCATGGAAGATTTACATATTTAGCACACAATTCTTATCTATTTATATATCTCACACATATACTTTAATATTTACATACATAGTCTCACACATATACTTTAATATTTACATACATAATACTTTGGTTCTTTAAATCTATGCATGAAAAAAGTGTATTTCACTTTTTAGAAGTGATAATAGTGCTATTTTTTGTGTGATATTAACGATATGAGTGCTATGTGTGTATATGAAAGTTTAGGTGTGAAATATGTAAATACATAAGAATTGTGTGCTATGCATGCAAAATATGTAAATACATAAGAATTGTGCTCTATGCATGCAAAGGCCCCAATAATCATATATCAAAGCTTTACACCACTCAATCCTTGATTGTTTTGCATCATTCCCTTGATTATAAAGACTCTTTTCATGATGAGCGGAAAGTAAAATCCATAGTGGAAGGGAAGTTGGTACCTATTGGTGTGATTTATGATAATCTTTAGGATGATCTTCTTATAAGAGATATGGTTCAAGATGATTCAATAGATGATGATCTCTTAGGCAATGTAGATTAAGAGATTAAAGGTTAGGACAGCACTTAAGTGCTTGTAGCATGATAATCTTGATTTGGCTTAGTGCAAATCATAGCTTTGAGATAGCATGCACTTTGTGAGACAGTAACAAAAATTGGAGAGCCTCATAGGGGAATGGTGAGTTGGGTCGTTTAGGTGGGTTTATTAGCTTTAACTTCATGGTTTGACCAAGGATTCTTATAGGGTGCAACATATTCAAATATGTATGGTTATGCCTAGAATGACATGTAGAATCATGTTCTACGGTAGTCGAGCATTGGACCTATGTTATGCTTGCCATTCATGATTGATTTGATATATTGCTCATTTGCGCATTTATTATACTTTACATTAGGTTTGTTGGTGGCCATGATGAGGAGGTCTGTGATAATCATATTCATCCTCATCTTTGCTAGAGTTCATTTACTAATCTCACCTAGTTCAACATAATAGGTAGAGATAATTTATCACCAAAAGACAGACTAAATGCGCTAAATAACAACATATGTAAATCTTTTGAAGTTTGCTAACTACAAATTACTAAATCGAGCTCTCATTTTAGTTGCAAACAAGACTTATATTATTCTCACTTGTTTGTTGAACTAAGAAGTAGGATTTTAAGATGCAAAAATTTAAACATGCACAACAAGATTGATTGATATGGATTCATTTAGTATTCAAGTAGTATTTGATTGATAAATTTACATTCATAGCTCACAATTCTTATGTATTTACATATCTCGCACCTAAACTTTCATATTTATATACGTTGCAGTTTTTTGTTTTAAATTTATTCATGAAAAGATGTATTTTACACTTAAAAAGTGGTAATAATGTTATTTTTTATGTGATATTAAAGATTTGAGTATTATGTGTGTAAACTTGAAAGTTCAGGCGTGAGATATGTAAATACATAAGAATTGTGTGCAGTTTATGTAATGCCCCAATTAGTTTAGGGGAAGCAATTTGGCAGTAGGGTGTGGGTGGTAATGGCAGCAAACTCGATAGTAGGCCGTGAGCTCAAATCAGTCACAATATAATGATCAGGCTAGAACAACGAACTCTGAGCTTAAATGTTTCAGGAATTGCTTGTGGGCTACACGATTTCTTGTACAATATTTGTTTAGCTTTAATGATTAGGCAATTTCTTGCTTGATCTTAATACTTTTTATATTAATTTCATTTTCATAAAGGGATAGAGAGGAGTCAGCCGGGATAGAAGAGAGAAAAGGGGGATGGGAAGGGAGTGGAGGAGAGAAGAGAGCTTATTGGGGCGAAAGCGCTGGTTTCATTCATTTTATCGATAATGTATCATTGCAACCAAAATTTGCTAATGTATTGCATGGAACCCACCTATTTACAATGGAATGAAAATTAAACTAATGAAAATGAAGTTAAAACTAATTAAACTCGTCATAAAGCAAAGCATCATAGCACATGATCCATAATTATCCGACATCAAAAGCTTTTTGGTTAACCTCTTGGATGGCGTTCTTCTATTGCAACTTCATTTACTTGTATTAGCATTCCATTTATGACATTATAACCTTATTTTGTGAAGAAAGCTATTACCCATTGATATTTTAAAGGGGCATTTATCTACATAGCACACAATTCTTATATATTTACATAACTCGCACCTAAACTTTCATGTTTACATACATGCCCTCAAATCTTTAATATCACATTAAAAATAGCTCTATTATCACTTTTTAGAATTGAAATACACATTTTCATACATAGGTTTAAAGCACCAAGGTGTTATGTATGTAGATATGAAAGTTTAGGTGTGAGATATCTAAATTCATAAGAATTTGTGTGATGAATGTTGAGTATGTAAATTTCCCTATTTTAAGTAAAAGGTCATCTAGGCAAGTGCATTAAAGGACGCATCAATCCTTGTTTTAGTCATGGAAGAATGAATTGAAGAACTGCTATTTTTTTTATAATTTTTAATCTGTGGTTCTCTTCAAATTTTTAAGATTTCATATTTCGACACTGAAATTTCTCAATCTTTGCATCTCACAGATCATGTTCCATACTTTGAGTATGGATATTATGTGGCATTTAACAATGAAAAGGGCGGGGTTATTGAAGCTCTAAAGCAAGAAGGTATTGCTGATTTGGATCCTAAAGCCTCAAGTTCCTACTTCTCCGAATGGTTGTCCACAAAAGCATTGATGAGCTCCTGGCTTTCTGCGGCAATAGAATATGAACTCTGGGTGGCTTCTGATAGTAATATTGCCCATAAAATATATTTCTCTGATCTTCCATGGTTGCTTGCCAAGGTTCTTCATAAGAAACAGAGTCGAGCTGTGAAAAGGCTGCTTGGGATAACAAATCTCACTGCTTCTGAAAGAGAGGAAGAGGTCTCTGTTTTTTTTCATTGGTAATGAATTTTCGAGTGATAAATGGATAAAAATAGAATAATTAATTATTCTGCATACTAACCCTTGTCAAAGAAATTCTCCTTAAGATTCGTCAAGGAAGGATTTATTTTCCTCATGCAATGCTAGGGTGTCTTAAAAGTGATATGATCAATATGATAAAGTGACAACTACTTAATTTGTATTCATTTATTTAGAATTTACTATTCTTTTACTGTTTAGTTTATGTCACTTTTATTTTATTTAAAATGGACATGATGGTGCTTCTTATTTTCATAAATGAACTGAGAGATTAAGGGATACGAGAAAATCTCTTCTTCCCTATCTCCTCAAATCCAACAAGCTCTAAAAGTTTATGATATGTGCTATACCTTTGTGACACTTTCCTCTTTCCAAAAGACCCATTTAAAGATTGATATAATGGTGAGCCATTATTTGTTTGGCGATCTTTCACTTGTTTATCTTCCACTTATTCCAGTTGTTTAGTCATACTTGTCAATGCGTAAGTACAATTGCATTGATTTTAATTGTTCTACAACTTGATTTGGTGCATTGTAGTAATGCTTGATTTTATGGTCGCCAATGTCACTAATTGAATTTGGGTTGCCATTATAGTTGCCCATGTTTTGCCGTATTTGTGAAGTTTTTTGATTTTGATAAGGACGCATGTTGATTCACGATGCCTTTAGTTGAAGCATCTTGGCCACCATTGTGCTTGCTTGCAAGTGATTATCTAGAAATATTGTGAGCAGTCCATGTTACAATTCCACCACAGCGTCCATCATTGTTGTTTTCTTCAAGACTTTTGAGAGGTATCCTTTATGTCCTAGCAGAATAAAAATGATGGTGATCCCATGATGATACCTAAGTGAAGGGAAAAATCAAGAGTACTTAGAAAATTCATAAGAGAGTGAGAAATAGGGATACGGATTACAAAGTGCAAATCACAACAGGCAAGCTTTTGGATCTAAATACGAGAGGGGAAATGATACTCATGACTACTATCATAGGAGAGGATTTTGCAGAACAATTAGGGAGAAAGCTAGAGTGATCAAGAAATCAATTATGAATGGAGAATGGATGCTTCATATTTGAATACTTGTTGATTAGTTTTGAAAAATTATATTTAAAAATTAACTAGCTATTGAATGTTTTTTCAAACGATCTGGCTATATAATCGAGTAGAATCATCCTTGTCAAGCTATTTTTTAATGAATCGTTGGCGTTGAATAGTTCCTGTGTGGTATATTTTGTACCAGGGTAATTTCCTTCAAAACAATGTATTGGATACCTGCCTAATTTTTTATAATTGTTAGGAGAGGGATGACTCTCCTTATAACTATTTGCGCTATTTTGTAATAGGACCTTAATCATTTTCTTATATCTTTGTGTGAGAGCATGGATAAATTATGGGGGGTTTTCCGTGTAATCACTAGTAGAGGAGAACATTTTGGACTAGAGCTTTTTCTTGATGTAAGACAAAATTATTGGAATCAATAAAGCTTTTGGACTAGTGCTTTTTTTTTATGGAAATATTGAAGAAAGAAAAGAAGATCTGTACTCTTAAAACTGTTGTGCAAGATGAATTGTTCGCCTTAAACATTTTGGTCAATGAATAAGTGATCAACATCATCATCAACACATGGAGTCCAAAGAACTTGTATCTCCTCAAACCTAGTTAAGAGGTTGGTCTTGGAGAAGGTTCGGTACACGGAAAAAAAAAGAAGGAAAAAAAAAAGAGATTCGGAAGTGTGGATATATAGGCAATGTTGCATTCATTTTGTCATCACTTGAGAGCACATTGACAAGGTAATGCATGAAGTAGTTCTTCTTGATATTCACCATATTATGGCTGCTGTTCCATTCCTATTGAACCAAGGCACCATCTGCTTCAGAAGGTTTCAATATACCCATTTCATAACTAATGTCATTAACTGAACTATGATAGAAGTAGGGATTGCCAGCTCATGGCTATAATGGAGGCAAGGCAAGTCAATAGGAATTTAGACAATTATCAATGTTTTGTTATGCTCTTCATTCGATTAGACTAATTATATGACAATGCTTACTCTTTAGTTTGAGCAAAATTAGAATACGCTAGAATTAAAAATTTGAATGGAAAAGCTATCACTCTTACTCTTAAGGAGGGTGGCCTACAACAACTCATGGAGTATTGAACACTTTTATAAGATTAAATGATTATTCCTACCTTTATAAGATTAAATGATTATTTCTACATTACACAATGGGGCTGAAGATTCAACTTATCTCCTGTCCCCACTGCCCAACATTGGGATGTCACAATTTGGTGTTGGAAAATGATTGGATAACAAATTAAGTTGCTGAGTTATTTGAATAGAAAGTCATCAACGTAGTAGTTCTGCTTGAAGTTTCCCAATTGTTTTGATACAAAAAATGATAATTGGTGTATTTTTATTGGCTTCATGGCTTTGAATAAGATCACCATGAAGAATATGCACTACATTCCCCAGGTTGACTTATTGCTCAAGCTGAAGCATTTATTTATATTACCAAAATTGGATCTCAAATTGGCATATCATTAAGTCCAATCCAGAAGTAAGACACTGTGGGAGAAAATGTTTAAGACGAGACTTGATTACGAGTGAATGTAATGTCATTTGGTTTTTGCAATGCTAAAATGATTTTTTGTTTCCCACGAATTATATTTTGTGGCTCTTCATGAATGTCTTTGTGATCATTTACCTTAACAGTATCCTCATCTAAGTTAAACATGGGATGAGTGCATAATCGTAGAAAGTATTGAAACTCCTCTAAAGAATTAATTATATCCAAACCACAAGAAGTATCCTTTGGTAGGAACACTGTACTACTCCATCAAGGAGGAATTACTCTAAGAGAAGTCAATTTTGTGTTTCGAAATGTGGTAAAAAAATAATATGTTAAGATAAGCACACACCTCCGAAGTGCCAGAGAATTTGGGGTGATCAATACACTTCTCAAGTTTCAATATTAAGCATTTTATTGTAAATGCATCTTGATGTGGCTAAATTCTTAAAATGATGTATAGCATGCTACGCGTCAAAAGCCTCCAATTGGATTCAAGGACTTTATGCAGCATGTTTATCTTGACTTGGTCATATAGCAACCATATACGACAATATTGATCCCACGCATGAGTCATAATCATGTTTTATTATTATTATTATTATTATTATTATTATTATTTATTTTTTTTATTTTTTGATAGAACAGTTCTTAAGCATGATCATTTTCATAGCTTACAAACAATGGCTTCTTGGGAGCTAGAAGTTACATGCCTTTTTCTGTTGGGGGCATGTGTAGGTTTGTTTTGGACACACTCGGAATTAATCTTTTTGGATTGAGATTCTCGACTTCTAAAATCTTGTGATAAAATCTTTAATATTCATTTCACTATTAACCAAGCAATGCACAATTCCACCAATTGATCTCCATTTAAGATATGTTTAGTTTGACTTGAAATTAATCATTGAGCCAACACCATCAACTAAACAAAAAGATGGTGGTTCTAGAAGGACTGAAAGTTCACGAGATATGGTCGATACCTAATGGAAAGAAGATACGAGGAAGGAGAATCAACATAATAAAGAGGATTTTGATAGTATTGCATACCAGTTGGATCAAAATTCTTATATGTATATTTACTTAGCGATAAATGTGGAGTACCTTAAGCTATATTTGTCTTCCAGACTATATGATGATCCAAGAGAAATCCCATCACCACTTGAACTTGGTGATAGGCTGAGAGAATGAGCTAGAGACAGAAGAACTATTAAAGGTGACCACTATGACCTTACGAGGCACTAGGGTGCTTTATTTTATGGACAAGTCTGACAACATAGAGCTATGAGTGACTATGTCCTCACTTCGAACTAGATTCAGCGTACAAAATTTTCTGTTACATGAGTGGAGAACAAGGGGCTTACAGCCAAATAGTTTTTAACTAGATCTAATCAAAGCTATAAAAATCACGAATTAAATATTTTTTCGAACAAAATCTTATCTGGCATTTGGCTCATGAATGGATCCTTACCGCTTTCTCTATAATCTTATTCCTTAAAATTAAATGGATTGGTTGCTAATATGACATTTCTGATAACTATCTAGAGAGACGTAACTCTTATTTTTACCATTCTAACTTTTTTTTTTATTGGTTACATATTTTCTTAATTTGTAATTGATAACTTCTTCAATTGTAAAAAAGTTAATATTTTTTTTTAGAAGTGCATTGATGGGGATCAGTAAACTAATGAGCATGTTACTCTTTAGCGGTTTTCTTTTTTTGAATGAAGTTTTAATAATGCCGTGTTTTCTTAGAAGACACAGAAATAACCTCTTCAAGTTTCTCACATGTGCTTGCTAGCAGATCTCTTTCCAGTGACCTTGAGTAATTTTAGATAATATCGAGCCACCCTTTTTCTTTCATTCATTCATATGTAATGATAAAACAGACCTAGTAACCTTTGATTTAGTAGCCGATCATTTTATGTAATGACTATAACATTAAGAGGAGTTAAAAGAAGAACCATCAAGTCCTTGTTGTATTAAACAAGCATGACGTAAACAAACATTTGATATAAATTAAAATGAGAAAAATATCAAAATAATCCTCTGAAGCTTTGCAAGGTGTAATTCCATAGCCATAATTGTGCCAATTTATTATCCATAATCTTTTAATATGAGCTAAAATAATCTCATAAAGGACTATTTCAGCCCCAATTTAAAGAGTAGGGGATAGTTTGACACTTCTATAAACTTTTCTACTAAAATAACCCATTTAAACAGTCAGGTGACTATTTTGATGCTTTACTCAAATTAAAATTTACAAGAATTTGCTCTCTCATTCACCACTTCAAAGGAGAGTTGGTCATACTCTCATATTAAAAAGTCTAGCTGAAGTCTCACTTCAGGCTCTTCTATCGCCAAAACTTTTCTTGTTATTTGTATCATAATATGATCTTTGAACTGACAACTCTAACTTAGTAATTAATTCATTACTATAGGATAGCTTCTTTCCAATTCTTTCTGTTTATTTGTTTTCACAAATGTTATAGTTCTCTGGCCATTCATTTGTAGATTATTAAGCTTTGCACTTATGGTTAACTAATTTATCTTTTTTTAAATAGTAATCAAATTAATCCTTTTCATTTACAGATATATAGGAATGCAACATTAGCATTTAAGGCTTTATCTTTGCGATTAGGGGATCAATCATTTTTCTTTGAGGACAGGTACTACTTGATTGGTTTATTCTATTGATTTCTATTTTATTGGCCATTTTTGTCTATTTTAATATACTTTTTGTAAACTTGTGTCCAATATTATTATCAGTTTTTGTTTGATCACTTGCAGGCCTACGAGTGTGGATGCTCTGTTTTTTGGATATGCCCTTTTTGTGCTTCATGTTCTACCCGTGAGTTCTATTTGAGTTTCTAACACATTATGGAAGACTAGTTGTCTATAAATCATATTTTAAACAAACTTTTTACTGGGTTAGATGCAGTTTAGATTCAATAATCCATTCTATTGTTGCTAGTTATCGGTCATCAAGTGTATTTTTGGGTGTGATTCAGGACCCTTTTGCTGTCGATTGAAGATGAAATCTCATTTAAAAATCAATTATATATGTGCTTTTTTAAAAAAAAAATTGAATTGAAATTGGAATCACAATGCTAGATTTTATTGGTAAATCAATGATTCTTTAAGTGCTGGTGTGCAAAAGTAGTCTGTCACCTATCTGGATAACTAAATTGCTCACAAACAGACTGTTGTTGCACTATTTTCAGTCAATCTATTTAGCTTAACCTCTTTTGTGGATGTCTTATCTGCTTCTCTTTGCCGAAAAAACACCAATTGGAGGAGTTAGACGAGCAAAAACCAAAATTTAATCTTCCCTTCATATCTCTCACTCTCAACGAGTTTGGTTGATCAAACAAAAATTTTCGTAAAATTTTCATCCCTTTTGTAAAGAGTATATTTGAAACCTGACCTTAAAGAACCCGGTTTTCATTCTTCTTTATTATAAAAATAACAAAAACTGCGTTTGAAGCACAGCTATTCCAGCTCACCTACCCATTAAAATTTTGGTTTTTTTTAGACACGGGATGACATGAAGGAAGCCGTGCTAATTTAGTATTGCAATCAAATGAGATTAAACTATCTGTAAAAAGATGGTGGAAAATAGAAGATGAAAGGCAAAACAGAAAGGACAAGTAAAAGTCGGACAGAATGGAAGATGAGCAGAAGTGGAAGGAAGATGAGTTTTATATGAAGGAACAGAAGTGAGAGAAAGGAAGAGATCTTAGGAGGAGGGAGAGTATATTTATGTGAAAGAAAATCGAGAAAAGAAGAGTAGAAGTCAGAGAGAAAGAAGAAGGAAAAGGTGTTAGGAGGAAGATGATGGATAGGAAAGAGGACAAATTGGTATAAGGAATTACAATAGAAGGCAGAGAGAGCTAGGTGGATTCTCTAATGCATTGAGCAACTCTTTTTTGGAATATTTGCATACATACCACTCAATTCTTATGTATTTTCATATCTAACGCCTATGCTTCAATTTTTGCATATATGAGACCTTCCCGATGCATTAAAAGGTGTATTTCTCATTTTAAAAGTTAAAATGGATGTGATATGAAAGATTTGGGTGGTATAAATGTAGAAAGTGAAGTTTAGGTGTTAGATATGTAAACACATAGGAATTGGGTGGTAAGTATGTAAATACCCCCTCTTTTTTTAAAAGAAAAGTTGTTCATTCACATTAGTTTAGCCGGTTTATTAATGTGTATATCATCATGATTGTCTGAATATTTATTCCATCTATAAGATGTTTGCTAATATGTTATCAAGCATTAGTGGTATTAGTGGTACGCACAACTCTATTTATCGGTCTATCCTCTAGCTTCTTTTGTGATCGTTATATTGGTGGCTTTTCAACTTCATGATCAGTAAGATATTTGTGGTTTGAAACATTTTCCTTAATTTTTTGAAGGATTTCTAATTCTTTCTCTGATAGCCAATTAAGTCTTTGTTAAAATGATAGGTTTCAGTTATATTTTCTCTCTTCAAAAAGCCTGATGAGCAAAGTTGGCCTATTTTTTCAGGAAAGCTACAGTTAGCTTTTAAGAAAATTTTAATGAAAGAATTTCAAATAAATATTACAATGCACTTATCTGAAGAATTCATTGCTGCATATAGTGTAAAATTCTGAAATGTGTCAGAATATGGAGATAGAACTGTACTTAGATTCAGAAACTTTATTAAATAAACAAAGTAAATCAATCTCTTCAATAAGTTAGAAAAAACATTAAACAAATTTGGTGAGTTTTAAGTGATTATGTTGCTGAGCACAATGGGTGAATGGTAGAAAAAGAATGCAAACAAAATGAACTTTCTTGTGTGGGGTAAGCTCTATATATTGATTTCATCCATTTTAATTTGTTCAAGAATTTTGCTCGAATGTCAATAGAGCCCGTTTTTTTTTTCCCTTTATTTTGCAAGGGAAATTGATGTACTATTAACTATTGACTTGTCAAACTCTTTTGGATGTGTTATTGTTTGCCTTATTTGGACTTCATATCTTATGCATTCTTTGAATTCATTTTGTAATCAATGTGTAATTAAGAGTTATTTTATGAAAATGGTTGTTGTATAAAAGACTGATTTTTTATGAAAGATTCCATATTTTTTTCTCTTGATTACCTTGGATATATTTCCTTTCATTTTGTTTTGTTGAGTTTAAATTCTCTTATATAGAGGATATTTGTAAGAGAATTTCAATATTATGTGAATATACAAATATTGCAAGCAAGGCGGTCTCCCATCATTATCAAACCATCACAAGCTCATTTGCATTAAGATTAGTACTTTTGATAATCCTAAAGCTCAAGATCTAAGGTTTTATCATTGCCACCACTTATCATTAGGAAAACCAATAAAAAAATACCACCACCAACCTAAGAAAATCCTAAAAAAACCAAAAACTTGTACTACTTGATTCTTCCTCACCATGAACTGAATTTCTTTTATCACCACCGTAGTTGTCATGCTTAACCATGCCAAAAAATTCAACATTATAAAGTTTATATGGGATGACCATAACCAATTTAAAATTCATTCTAAAGCAACCTTTATAATCACATCTATCATCATATCCGCCGATCAGAACATCTGATTTACTAAAACTTAATAACATCCATACAATTTATCCACCAAGTAAAATATATATTTAATTTGATAACTAATCATCAATATAATCTATTACAAGAGGTCATCTGTTAAGAGTTCATAGTGATATGAACTACTGAAAGAATATTATATTTAAGGAAGATTTACATACATACCACTATATTTCTAAGTATTTACATACCTAACACCTAAACTTCAATATCTACACACATACCACCATACTTATGCATGAAAAGGTGTATTTCACTTTTAAAAAGTGAAAATGGTGTGATTTAAGTGGTATAAATGTAAAAAGCAAATTTTAGATGTTGGATATGTTAATATGTAGGAATTTGGTGGTATCTATGTAAATGCCTCTATATTCAATTTGAGATGTATGACATGCATCCATATTATAAACCAACGCCACGTTTTCATTAATCACCTAATCGCCATAACAATCAAACAAACCTCGAGTATTAGTCCACACTTTATGTTCACTTCCTTAGCATTGAATTAGAGATCAGGCAGCTAATATCTTGTAGTGCAGTGCTACTATGTGTTCTCTTTGATTCCCATCAGGTGTGATTGTTGATTTGTGTTAACTTTCCATCATATTTCTACAATCTCACCATGTCGGCATGAACATATGCAGAAACTTTTTGTTACCACTGAAAGCCTTGTTTTTGGCGATAATGAAAATTTTAATTTGAATATTTCTACAGGTTATTATGCCATTAATAAGCTGTATTTTGTTTTTCTTCTCTTTTATATTCAAATCATAATTTTCTAGAACCTTTTGTATTTTTTGATAGATGATGCGGATTTGAGTTTTGTATCCCTCGTCATGATAAGCCTTAACCATGTTCCATCTATATTTGGTACTATGACTATTGATCCAAAATTCTTTCTTAATTTTCCTTTTTTGTGTTGTTCTAAGTGTATTACATTGTCGCTAAATGTTCTCGTAGGTGTGGTTTCCATGTTACAACTAATACTTATTGAATCATTTGTAGCGGTGTGCAGTATCTGGTCAAAATTAAAAAATTGGACCGAACTGAATAAATTCAGTTGATTCGGTTTTGTTTCAAAGATGCATCTCAATATTCGGTTTTCAGTTATTGGTTTGATTTTAATATTCATTTAGCCGAACAAACCGAAAAATAAAAAATTTAAAATTAAATAAAGGATTCATGAAATTAAATCAGCATTATACGTGTAAGATATGTAATTCTTGATGTTTGTTGATAATCGAACTCCAAATAACAACTAACTTTTGGTTTATTCATAACCGAACCATTTAAGTTGAACCAAATTTTTGTTTGTCTTGCTTGAATTTTGTTTGCAATTGGTTTTGACCAATTTTAAAAAATGATCCATACAAACCAACTAAATGCTCACCCCTAGTCACTTGGGCCATGATTCTTGATTTCTGTTTGTTTAGGGTTGATTCTCAACTAGATGAGCTATTTGTTGCTAAAAATTCTCGTGCAAATTGTTGTGGACTTCCACCATGACCTTCAGTCTGTACTAATATCCAATTTCTTAGCATCCTGTGAGATGTACACGATCCTTACAGCCTCTATTTCATAGGCACGATCTTATTTAACTTTATGAGCATGAGTTTTTTTGTTGATTTAATACATACCATCACTAGCATCATTTTAATGCGCTATTGCCTTTTTTGGATTTGTTATCACATGCTTTATTTTTGGAAATATTGAATAATACGGGTTAATTTTTTAGGATGATTATTTCATGGAAGATTTTTTTCTTTATCAAAGATCCAATATTATAGCTCTTGGTTGCTTTATTTTTCTTTTCTTATTTGCTTAAGTTGTAAATCCTTGCTAAAAATAAATGTGCTTGAAAATGAATTGCAATAGAAGAATTTTGCAAGCAGGAGGGTCTCCAGCTGCTCTCCGCTTAGCCACCCCTCTCTCTCTCTCTCTCTCTCTCTCTCTCTCTCTCTCTCAGTTAAATTCATCTTCTTCTTGCCTTCTTTGGTGGACGTCTATTACAAGCTTCACTTCACTTTTTCCTTTTAGCAAACTAATGGAAATTCCTTCCCTTCTTTAACAAGCCATAACAAGCTTGCGCATCAAGAAAAGTTATCTCTTCAAAGTTTCCATCAAAGCCCTTTACCCTGTAAAACAAAATATGGCGTGGTAAGTAGGGCCTTTAATAATTTCAGGTTTTTGGAAGCTGTAGGGTTTATGAATCTCATCTATTCTAATTTAATGATGGAAGGTTTACATACACCACTCAATTCCTATGTATTTACATATCTAACATCTAAACTTCACTTTTAATTACATGCCACCTTACCCATGCATGGTGATATTTTTGATGTCATATGAAAGATTTTGGTGGCATAAATGTAAAAAGTGAATTGTATGAGTTAGAGATGTAAATACATGTGAATTGGGTGACATGTATGAAAATGTCTCTATTTTATTTTCCGTTTGTAATTCTGATTTCTATTCAAATTCTTTGTATACATATTTGACTCAATAACTTTTTGGATCTGTTGGCCACATAGGATACATCGGCTCTGAAAGTTGATTTCTTGAAGCATGATAATCTTGTTAATTATGCTGAAAATCTGAAGAAGCAGTTCTTAGATGGGGACCCATCTGCTGCTGCTTTTGTTCCAAGGTCTCGCTCTGATGCTTCAACATCAAACACAAGAAGAAAAGGTTCACATTGGAGTAAGAAATCAACCAATTTTTATTATTTATTTTTTTATTTTTTATTTTCTGGAGAATTTACTTACATACCACCCAATTCCTATGTATTTACGTATCTAACACCTAAATTTTGCTCTTAATATTTATACCACCCAAACCTTTAATATCACATTAAAATACTATCATTTTAAATTTTAAAAAGTGAAATGTGTATGTGGTATGCACCAAAAAATTGAAATTTAGGTGTTAGATATGCAAATACATAAGAATTGGTGGTATGTATGTAAACCTTCCTTTTTAACTATTAATCTATTGCAGTCAATAGTGTTGAATCATAGGTGGGGTGAGCTATTTTGATAAGTTTTTCAATGAAGTTTTTGAAAATATGATCAACCTTAGTGATCTTAATATTGCTAATAATAAAAAAATATTTTATTTTTATCGTCGCATTAGTAATAAAGAAGTTGAGGATGCTTTAAAGAAAATCAATGGTGAAAAATCAATAGGACCCAATGATATCCCAATTGAAATGTGCAAATATTTAGGATATTTTGGAGTTTCTTAGCTTACTAAACTCTTTAATATTATTTTAAAAACTAAAAAGATCTCCAAGGAGTGAAAGATGAGTATTTTGGTTCCCATTTTTAAGAATAAAGGGATGCACAAGAGTGTGCAAATTGTAGAAGAATTAAGTTGATGTGTCATACTTCAAATTATGGGAGAGAGTAATTGAACATAGGCTAAGACGTGATTAAAGATTTCTCATAAGCAGTTTGGATTTATGTCAGGCAAGTCTACTATGAAAGCTATACATTTATTGAGAGGTTTGATGGAGAAGTACAAAGATAATAAGGAGGATCTACATATGATTTTTAGTGATTTAGAAAAAGCTTACAATAAGGTTCCAAGAGAAGTTCTTTGGAGGGTTCTAGAGAAAAAAAATGTTGATATGACTTATATTCAAGTCATTAAAAATATGTCTACTAGAGTTGTTACTTTTGTTTGAGCAGGAGGATTGATCAAGTATTTTTCTACAAGGATCGACTTTAAGCTCATATCTTCTTGTTGTAGTTATGGATCTTTTTATTGGACATTTGCAAGAGGATGTACTTTGTTGTATGTTTTTCGCTGATAATATCCTTATTGTGGATAAGACTAGAGAAAACGTGTAGGAAAAAATTGAATTTTGGAGGCCTGCTTTGGAGTCTAAAGGCCTTCATTTGAGTAGAACGAAAATTGAATACATGAAATGTAATTTTAATACTAGTAACTCTGGTAGCAAGGTTGTAACTATGAGTGATCAAATCATTAAAAGATGTGAATGTTTTATATATCTCGGGTCTTTTGTTCAAAGTGATGGTAATAAAGATGGTAATATTATTAGTAGAATTCAAGTTGGTTGGTTGAAGTGGAGAAATGCATCGGGCCTATTATGTGATAGAAAAGTACCATTTAGACTAAAAGAAAAATTTTATAAGATGGGAAAGGAAAATTTTATAAGATGGTGAGACTTGCAATGCTCAATAGCACAAAATGTTAGACTTTAAAAGAGAAGCATAAAATAAGGTTAAGCGTTGTTGAGATGAGAATGCTTAGGTGTATGAGTGGCTTGACACTAAGAGATAAAATGCAAAATGAATATATCCATGATAGGGTTGGTGTAGCTTCGGTGGCGGACAAGATTAGAGAGAACCGTCTTAGATGGTTTGGTCACATTAAATGTCGACCATCTGATGATCTGATTAGGAGATTAGATGTTTTAGATTTGATTGGTCTTAAGAAAAGACTGACGTAGACCTAAAAAGACTTGGGCATATTGTATAAAAAATGAGCTTAATCTATTAGAATTAAATGAAAATATGACACTCAATAGAATGCAATGGGGGGAAAAGGATTCATGTTGCCGACTCCAGTTTTAGTAGGATACAAAGTTGTTATTGTTGCTGCTGCAGTTCATAGTGTTGAATGTAGGGGGTGGGCTTTGATAAGATTAATAATGTTAATTATGTAATCATCCCAAAAAAAAAAAAAATTTTTTTTTTGACAAAGGCTAATTTATAAAAATTATAGTCATCATCATTAGCCTTAATACAACTATTTGTGATTGGCTTTATTATCCTTTTTTTATATTTGTTCTTCTTTCAGTGTCATAGACGGTTAGATTTATCTTGCATACATTAAATTTATTTTTGTAGAATTTTTTTTACACTTATTATCTTTCCTTCAGTTTACCTTTCTTCTTTGTAAATCTTTCACTCTAATTTTACCTACTATTTGTATTGGTGCATCTTCTATCCTTTGTTGCCACTTATAAGTCAATTTTCCTGACCCTTTCTTCAAATTGTGCTGTTTTTATACTATACTTATTTCTCCGTCTATTTTTTCTCAATCCACATGAATCTATCTTAAAATTATCTTTTCTTCTACACTGAATTTGTTCATCAACAACTTCTCATTGTTGAACTCTCAATCTATGTAATATAATTGATATACCTGTAATTTTGCATAAGTTTCCCTTTATGTTTATATGAAATTCTTATTACATGATATGTCTGCACATATCGTTGTTCTTTAATTTATTTTAAAGGTCCAGAAGTCCTTAAATCAATCTCCCATTAGCATCGTTTACAACAAGTATTGGCTTATAAGTACCAACTTAAGTGTCATATCATCTAAGTATTTTCTCCATTGTTTATGTTTGGCACTCAAAGGTTACCCGATATCCTACGGATTTGAACTATGGCATCTCTAAATAATGTACATCATGGTACTTTATTTTTAGTATATTTAATAGGGAAGTTTGCATACATACCACCCAATTCTTATGCATTTACATATCTAACACCTGAGCTTTCTTTCTTTGCATTTTTGCCACCCAAAATTTTCATATCACATCAAAAATATCATAATTTTAACTTTTAAAAGGTGAAATGCACCCTTTTATGCTTAGGTAAGATGGTATGTATGTAAAAATTGAAGTTTATTTGCCAAGATTCTGGTATTTCACATTCATTGTAATGGATTAAGTGTTAAGGATAATTTATTTTACAATTATCTCAAAACATATTCAAAGGCTACAAAATCTATCCTTAAATTTAGGATGATTTGCACACATATTACTCAATTCTTATGTATTTACATATCTCTAACATCCAAACTTTAATTTTTACGCATATGCTATCCTTACTTCTGCATCTAAAGGTGATATTTCTGATGTGACATGAAATTTTTGGCAATATAAATGTAAAAAGAAAAGGAAAATTTAGATGTAGATATGTAAAAGCATAAGAATTGGATGGTAGGTTAAATGCCCCTAAAATTTAATCTGAATACCATGACCCAAATTACTTTGGTCGTATTGCGATAATATTTTTGTGTGTTAACCAATCCTTATTCCCTGCCCTAATTGAGGTGATTTTACAGGTTCAAAGCCCAACCCTAAACCCAAGAGAGAGAAGACTGAGGAAGAGAAGACATTTAGGAGGAGAGCAAAGTACTTTCTTGGGGCTCAATTTGTTGCTGTGCTCGTCTTTCTATCACTCTTTGGAGGTGCTGATGGGCCTCAATTGCATGATGATGGGGATGAATTTGCTTATGAGGATTAGGGTCACTCTTTGGAGGTGCTGATGGACCTCAATTGCAAAATGATGATGGGGATGAATTTGCTTATGAGGATTAGGGTTTCCTTCTTCTTTTTTTATTTTTTTTTTATCTGATTCAGCTCTTTGATACAGATTTGTAGGGCTTAGCCTTTGCTTCAACTTTTTTTTCTTTTTTTTTTTATCTGATTCAGCTATTTGATACAGATTTGTAGGGCTTAGCCTTTGCTTCAGTATGTGATTCAAATCAGTAGTTTTTGTTTGGATTTTATTGCTTTTAGCCAAAGAAGTGTTGGATTATCTTTTTGTCTTTAATAATTTTTCTCAGGATTTATATTTTATATTATCCTATGTTCACTTATATGCATAGCAATTATATATATATATATATATATACTATTTATTTCTAATTATTTGACTCACTTATATGCATAGCAATTATATATATATATACTATTTATTTCTAATTATTTGAATATGAAGTATGTGAATATATATGTTGGGTGTCTTGGGTCTTCTGTTCATCAAATCATATAGGGCATTTACATACATACCACCCAATCCATATATAGTTATATTCTTATCACCCACATCTTTCATATCACATAAGAAAAGAAGGGTTACTTACATACAAGCACTTAAAACGTTGTTACTTGTTTTAAAAAAAAAAAAAAAAATCCAGGTGATTTTCTGAACCATGGAAACGCTATATTTATATGCATCATGATAAAAAAAAAAGATAAAATCATTGAAAATTTGTTAAAAATGAAAAATATAAGTTAAGAGTTAATGGTGAGTTTTAATAATTGAGTAAGAATTTGAAAATTTGATTAAAGCGTAGTACTGCTTCTGTAAGTATTACCGCAAGGTTGCATATAGGTAAAAATTGAAATTTAGGTGTTAGATATGTAAATTACGTTAAATCTTCCAAGTTGTAATCAAATAAAGCATCATTCCAAAATAGAAAAAAAAAAAAAAAAATAGAAGGGTTGGCGCTTTCGTAGAAAGGTTGGCGCTTTCGCCATCTGCTTGAATGCTTGATTGTCATGTATCTAGTTTTCACTTGAATTCAATAATTGAAATGATAGAATATGGTTTTTAAAATCTAGATAAAAAGCCCTTTATTCTTTACGTCAACTGCATGTCTGCTCGCCTATCTCATATTATTTAATGCTAAAATTATTTTATAACAATAGTTTAGTTTAGTGGAAATTTATGGTTTAACAAACCAACACCTTGGATTAAGACATTATTAGTCTGTTTCTTTTACGGGTCAACAGTTTTTGCTTTCCATAAATTATAAAAATATACTTAATTATCACACTATTTTAAGAATTAACTAGGGACTCTTCTGATTTGTTGCAAAAAATAAGCGTTACAAAGGACGAAGGGAATTGGGAAAGCAAGAAGAGGTAAAGTAGAAATGGAGTTAATGATTCATTGTCAACAGTGAATAGAGGCAACTAATGAGGTCAACCTTTTGTCAAATAAATAGTCAAAATGACTTAAAAAGTCAAATGATCATATGCTACATTACATCATATCACTTACGAGAGTAAAGATTCAAATACATGCCAATCAATTCCTATCTTCTTGAGATATTTCATTCCTATGTACTTGCATATTTAACACAAACTTAATGACCCCATTGTTTGATATTTCTTTCTGCAAAAAAAAGCTCATCATCAACTAAATTTGCTAAAACCTCTTGTGATAGAATGGTACTAAATTTAGCTGATGATCATTAAGAGGAAAAGGAACTGGAATGAAGCTATTAATTAAAAAATATTAATGGCCCATTGCGGTCATAAAGCAATTAAAGCTTTTGGCACCGATGCGAGAGCTACATACCAACCAAAGAACGCTTCATCGAAAACCTCCAAACATTATTTTAGTAAAAAGATTGGGATCATCATCATCATGTCGCATGAACATTTTAATTATTTTAAAAATAAATATTAATTGATATTTTAATTAATTTTACAGTATATATTTCAAACAATTTTTATATATTAATATTTAATAAACTTTCATTTTAACATAAATATGTAATAATTACATGAAAATCATCATTAACATTAAACTTTTTTCTCATGCATAAATATATGACACATTGGATGTAAACGAAAAAGTGTTACACATGAAAATTACCCTAAAAATCCATATAATATCAACCATGGAAACAAAATTGCAAATTGCAACGCAACATCGAAGAGGAAATTATGTGGCTAAAACCTTGAGCTTCAACAACTTGCACTAATTTTCTTAACATTTATAATAAAACTCTCACGATGGAGTCGCAGACTATAAAGAATCCATCTTTAACAAACTTCAATGGAAGCCTTAAAACCTGAAAGAAAAATGCAATAGCGCTCACAAATTCATGAAGAATATAACGGAAATAAAGCAGCAACAACAAAACCAGTCAAAAACTACAGTGTTGCTCCAATCAATTAAGCTAAAATAATATAAAAGCTACACTGAGCAAAAAGCAACAGAATTCAGAACCAAAAAAAGAAAAAAGAAAAAAAAAAACTACCCTAACCCTTTCTTTTCACTTCAAAAAAGAAAAAAAAAAAACTACCCTAACCCTTTCTTTTCACTTTCCCTTCTTTCTTTTTACATATGATACATAGGAGCATCAACTACTCAAACTTTATCTACCCAAATCCCTAGCTACCATAACCCCAGAACAGAAAACCACAACTTCGTTCAAAAAAAAAAAAAAAAAAAATGAAAAAAAAAGGATGGTCCTAAAAGTTTGCCTACCTATGTTAGTTTGGTGGAGATCCAGATCTTTTAACGGGCGAACTCCTATCTTCATCATCAGAATCACTTCCAGATGTACTCCTTGAATCAGAATCTGCAAAAGCAAAGCAAATGAAAATGGCTATACACGAATCACCTGAGAGCAAAAAGCGTTTAATAATCAATTGAAGTTACCACTGGAAGAAGAGGAATCGGTGCCGGAGCTGCTGGAGCTACTGCCATGACCATCATCCTTTTCAATCTCAACGGACGGATAATTTGTTGAGGTCATCTCTTCGCCAATGTCAATATCCTCGTCAACAGGATCACCTTTCTTGCACCTCTTGGCAGTCGGATCGTCCGCAATTGGTGACTGGAAATCCAAATGAATTGAGAAAATTGCTAACAAATATATTAGGAAAAAATAATAATAACTTTGGAGTACCTTGTGGTTTGAATCAGCTGGAAGTGATTGTTCAATAGCTGATGAGATTGGAACAGAGGACACGGCATTTCCAGTCAAGGCTTCTTGCCTCTTGATCTTGCTCAGCATCTTCTTGCAGTTGTAAACAAATCTATCTAGCTCCCAGAGTGTCTCTGTGTCCATAATCTCGAAGTCCAGAACAATCTCATCGCCCTCTTGTTGAGTGTCGATATTTCTCTTCTTGACAATCTGTAAAACTTGATTCATTTTCTCCTCCGGCAGGCTTTGAAGTCCAAAGCTTAGCTTTTGCCTCTCTTCATAGCTCATAGGTCTCTTATTCGGATCTTTAGCCTTAGGTTTTGGTAGCTTACTTCCGATTGTTCTAGCAGTTATGGGATATTTCTGCGGCGGTTGTTGATGGTAAGGAGATGACAATGAAGGGGTATCCACTGGGTTGGAGTGTACTCGCTGTTGCGGAACTGGAGCAGGAGCTGGAGCTGGAACAGGAGCTGGTGGAGACAGAACAGGTTTCGAGTCTACTCTCATTGAATTTTCAGAAACATGATGAGGCCAAGAAGATAAAATCTGCTTCTCTTCCGCTTGTCTGGAAATGCTGGCCAACTGCTTCTCATACTTTGCATAGGCCGGGCCAAAAAGTCCCTCAAACTGACGGAGGAGAAGTGCAGCCAATTTATGCACCTCATGAGCTTCCGGATTATAAATAAGAGCATTGTTAAAGGTCAGTCTAATGTCCTCGGCAAAATCTAATGGTGTCTTATAAAAGCCATTTTTAAGCCTGGATCTCACTGTCCCGAGGTCCATGGGATGCTTAATGATCAGCCGGTAATCATGCAATCCCATCCCCTGCACATCTACCGGGGAATTAAACCACATACCTCCCTTGTGCTTCATTAGCCTCGCCAAGATCTGCGAGCTCTTCTTCATAATGCCAGAAAGAAGATTCTTAGAATCCATTGCAGCCTTCGTAGTGGAAGTCATAGCCAGCCCAAACATCTCCTGGTTAGGCATCGGAGGCAGATGAGAATTTTTAGCTTCTAAAACCCTCATTTCCATTTCACTCAAGGACTCAGGTTGTGAAAGATGATTATGCTGAAAGGGTGCAGGAGACGAGACCTCCCGGCTGCTGCAATAAATCCCAGAGGCAGAGTATCCCACGGATCTAGCCGAAGACTGGAGCTCTCGTGACTCAATCCGGCTCGCGACGCTTCGTACCTGCTCTAGTTCAGACACCAGTCTCCGTTTCAAATCCCTTATACCTTTCTTCGACAAGTTTGAGATATTGATACTGACATAGCAGGCTGAAGCGCCTCCCAATTCAACATCCCGGCTGATAGGTTTCCAGTTGAATGAGGATGAATCCTCCGATAAGACGGTTCCTGCCGTGCCCAACGCGTCTTCCTTCTGATCCCGATGATTTGTTTCATATGCCCCTCTGACGTTAGAATACGGTATATGGCTAGGGTTAGGGTTAGGGTTAGAATTAGGGTTGGGGCAAAGCCTAGGGTTAGGATTAGAATTAGAGTTTTTCTTCATATAAACCTTCCGCTCTCCCCAATAAGACTCATTCTGGCTTGCCAGGATAGCGGAAGCCATACAAGGAATCGCCGGCTTCTCAGATCGGTTTGGATCCGCCGATTCTGAATGCGGTAACCAGCCAGATTGTCATTGAAAACAAGCTAGATCTCCTCTATTAAGCGATCAGGTCCTCATCGCCGGAGAAAAAGCCGGCGATCACCTTCAGATCCGGCGACCTTAGGAAGAGAAGAACAAGGTGGGCGAGGGCTTATTCTTTTCTTCTTTAGAGAACAGAACGAAACCCTCGGCGTTTGGTGCGGAAGAAAAGGTAGGGGTACACGGCTTCTTAAAGGCCTTGAGATCTGACCGGCCACATCACGGGCAGATCATCGGCCTTCTATTCAAACCGAATGTAAAATCCAACGGTTTTGATCTTATTTCTTCTGCCCGTAGTCCTGCCCTTCCAAACTGTCATGAACGGTCGTGATACCCCCTTTTACTACACGTGGCACGCATCGAAGTTAGGGCCGAAGTTCTGTCGCTTTTCTCTTACCTCGCCGATGTGAATTTAGCGTTTCGTTTGAATTTCGCGTGAATTTGCGCCGCATGACTCGTGCATTCGACCATGCTTACAATTCAGCGTGTATGTAGACCCTATGTCCACCGCTCGACACGTGGAATAGATGTTGTAGTTATGACACGTGGTTGGTGTTCATGAGAGGAGAAGAAGTGGGTGCAGTTTTAGATTGTTCTTCTATTGTTTAAAATTAATTTTACGGGGTTTTATCGCAATTGGCCAGCTGTCGTTAAGCGCGCGAAAATATCTGTGTGGGTGAAGGGAACGCGAAATGTCGACCAACTATTTGGACCGCTCCTTTGAATGTGGGTCCCAGAAAGGATTGATGAGGTTGGAAGACGAGAAAATTGTTTCGCGAGGAAATATATAATGAGATCATTAATAACTTTTGCTTTTTTTGAAAGCAAAAATATCCGACAACTAATTTTGCCCCTTTTAGAAATGTTATCCCATGGCTATCTTATTGTTACAACTAGGTTGACTTGTTTAATAATTTTGTAGAATGAACTATATTTTTAGTTTTTTTTTTTTCATAAGGATTTAGCATAAAATTATATGATCACGAGTTCCTCATGTGTCGAGCGATCATCTGTAAGAAATGGTGGGCATAAGCCCCTATTCACTCTTTGGAGAGAAATGAAACGGATGCAGCTTGGATCTGAGATGATTTATCATGAATAAAAGAGAGGATTTAGCAGGAATCTTTCTAATAAGTGTAAGGGAAAAGATATGAGTATGTCCCCCTGCACATCATAAAAGACGATTACAGAATCGTTAAAGAAAAACTAAAATGAAGTTCCCCAGTTAAGACTAATTAATAGGCGGTATGCATGAGTTTCTCAAGCTCGCTTGGTCTTGATTATAAGGACCATAGAGCAGATTCTTTGTACATATGCTTCTTCGAAATGGTGTAGAATAAACAAAAATAGTTTTAAACTTATAACGCAAAGAATAATTATCGCATTAATTTAGAACACTAAATATGAAAGTGTTTTTCTTGGGATCTCTAATAGTATATTTATTTACACATTTAGTTGTATATGCTTTTATATTTGAAATACGAAATAAGGAGTGATGTTATATGAATCTTCTTTTATTTTTATTTTTATTCTTATGCTTGAGACGACCAGCTATTGGGACACACGGTCGGTGAATTGTCATGACTCGCAAATAAAATTAGAGGTTATATAAGAAATACAAAGATTGGGTGAGTTATAAGAACTGATGATATGTATGAAAAAATAAAAAAATATTTGAGAATTTTGTGTTATGCATGTAATTCTCGGTCAGAGGGGAGTGACCGGATGGAGCGGCAAAGTGAGGTGGTTGGTCGATCATTTGAGGTGAACGAACGACGAGAAGGTATAACCCTTTGGAAGAAGCAAGTGCAATTTTTGTGTCGGTGTAAGGGGATCATAATTTTCTCGAGCTTTTCTGTCTATCAACAATTTGGCATATGTTTTAATGATATGTGATCAACTTCCTTTATCTCTCGGCTATGGCGTTCGAGCGTGGTAAGAATCCTCTATTTGTGATCCTTGGTACGGTTCTACTCGTTGGAGTCGATCTTCGAGAGGAACTAGATGAATCATCTGGTTGTCCTCGTCGGACGTGGATTCTTGGTATAGTCCTGGACTACTTATGTGATTAGAGGATTGCCTGTTGCAGTCTCATGAAGTGAAGCTTTTCACTCGGCTTAACTTTGTCAGCTCTGTGATTTTCTGCAAACACCATTGGGCTGAGAAGTACTGCACTCTTGTTAGTTTAGTGTGAAGCTGGAAAACGTGTCGTTGGGCTGCAGCAGACTTTGGACGTGACCCTCCTTGCAATTGGTTGTCCGCGACTTGGCGACCTTAGAGCTGCTAAAAGGAGATTTGAGCTGAATACACCGCCTGGATCGAAGACTTGCAGAGACAGGTCCGCACTGTGCGCAATGACAAAGTGACAAAGATCCATTGTGCTCAACAAAAATTCAAATCGTCAAGGTTGTATGTTGGTTTGTCCAAAGTGAAATTTTTTGGACGATGCACATCAATCTGTGTCAGGAGAGTCGCGTTCTGGTTCTCGTCGTCACACAGGACGTCATCCAACAAGCTTGGCTTAAATTTGGCCCAATCGTTCGGGATGCCCATTCGCTGGATTTTATCAAATACAGGCATCATTAAGAGGCATTGTCATCATGGGAAGATAATCATATTCACTACTTCTCATAGAATTATGACGTTAAGGCAGGCCAACCACTTTCGCAGCCTCATTGTGCTTGCTGGTGATGGAGGGTCTACTTTGGCACCCACTTCAGTGGGGGTTAGAGAAATTGAACCAGATTTCGATTGAGAGAGTTTTTTTCTGCTCGTGGTTGAGCGAAAACTTGAAGTTGGCTTCGGAGTTGAGCGTCTCGAGGGTACACCACCGTCGGCTGCTCGAGAACAAGCCACCGCCATACATCATAAGGCATGATCATGGACGTTGGACTGAAATTCCTGTTAAAGTTGCTACTTTGCTAAGAAACAAGTGGTCACAAGTAGCAAAGCATCTCCATTGAAGAAAGAAAACTCTGCAGCATACTCATCAGCTGAAAACTATAATAATAAAGAAGAAAATCTTGAAAAAAATTTATTTCTAATTTGAGACGTTGGAATCATCGGCACAAAACCATTTGATCTACTGTCAAGAAAATCAGAGGAATTTGCCCCGAAAGGTCTTGTTTGTAGATTGGATATTGGGAGAGGATTAAAATGGGTAACTCAGGTTAGAGAGCCCCATATGGAGTAAAGGGATTGACTCGGGATTCATGTAGCTTCGATAGTATAGAAAACAATTAACAATGGAGATTTGAGGGTTATGAGTGAAAAATAATTTGATGAGGATGGGAGCTATGTTTCGTGTTTTGAGACCAGGGATTTGGTGGGTGGTGAAATGGCGAGTTGACGTATCAACAATAGTGTATCGTGGTGGCAGACGACATGCTGAAAATACTGAGGGCGGACGGTGAAATGGCGGCTGGCCGGTGAAGTGGCAGTCGAGCGGGTTCGGTCGATGACGACTAGTCGCTCGAGGGATCATTGACGATGAAGCACTTTTTATATTGAAGGGGAGTAATGAGGGATGCTGCAAGAGGAGGCTAAAGCTACGGAAAGCATAATTGGATTAAAAGTGTCGAAGGTGAGGAGAAATTGTATGAGATTTTAATATGACAGGAACCTGTCAAGAGGCATTTCTTTTGCTGCTTTTGGCAATATGAAAAGACACAACCGATGATCGCCGATGGAAAGGAGAAAATGGAGTAAATTTATCGTAGTGAGAGTTCCCCTTGCATTTTTTTGCTATGAGCGTTTCACTAAAGAGCTTTTGCTCGATGTTGCTCATTTTCTTGTTGATGACACAATCCATGCTAACCACACCTTAAAGATTGTTGATCCATATCTGTCCAGTAGACCGTTCCCAAGGAATATAACGTAATACCAAGGGAAGGAGAACTTGAGAGAGAAAGACTAGCCCCCTTGGGGGCGAATTGGGGTGGTCTCTGGGCTTGATAACCCCTTTTTATTCCAAAAAACACGATGTTACAAGTGGGAGAGCCCCAAAAAGTCTCTTTTATTTGAAATGACCCTCATATTTATAGATAATATAATGGTCTATTTATAAATGATAGACGGGCCAAAAAGTAAATTACAATATTACCCTTGCTTTTAAACGGTGGTGCTTGATATTTTATTGTTTTTGTGTTGATGTTTTCTGCTAAAAAGTTATCCGTTGGAGTTCTCCGTCGAGGCGAAAAGTCTCTTGGTTGATTCTTGTTGGCCAAAGAAGAAAGTTGGTCGACCTAATGAAATGAGGTGGCCAAGGGAGACAGCTTGGCCGATCAACTTAAATGAGACGATCGATTACTGGATTGCCTCAAGATCCATGCAAACCATTATACAACATTAAAGCATAAATGCCTTCATCTGAGTAGATCTAAAATAGAATACATGAGTTACAATTTAGCAGTAATAGATCTAGTTAAAAGTTGTAAAAATGAGTGATCAAATCACTTAAAGGAGCGAACACTTTGTATATCTTTTGTCTATTGTTCAAAGTGATGGTGATATAGATGGGATGTTATCAGTAGAATTCAAGTTGGATGGTTGAAGATGAGGAATGTATCGGGCCTATTGTGTGAAATAAAAATATTGCCTAGACTTAAAGAAAAAAAATTATAAGATGATGGCGAGACTTGCAATGTTTTATGACACATAATGTTGGCCTATAAAAGAGAAACATAAAATAAATTTAAGTGTTGCCAAGATGTAAATGCTTAGTTGGATGAGTGGCTTAACACTTTGAGACAAAAATGTGAAACAAATGTATCTGTGAAAGGGCTTGCGTGGCTTCAATGACAAACAAAATTAGAGAGAGTCGTCTTAGGTGGTTTGTTCACATTTAATGTCGACCATCTGATGATCCTGTTAGGATATTGTATGTTTTAGATTCAATTTTATGTTCATAAATGTAGAGGTAAACCAAAAAAGACATGAACACGCTGTATAAAAAAAGATGACATTAATTTATTAGAATTAAATGAAAATATGACACTCAATATGACACAATAGAGAAAAATAATTCATGTGGCTAACCCCACTTAATGGGATATTTTTGTTGTTGTTGTTGTTTTATATCTTCACTCCCACTTACACCTTCATTCACTCGCACTTGTTCATGCATATCAAATATACAGGTGGATAATT